TATATTAATTTTAAATATAATTTATATTTTAAAATATAATACTATATATATAATTATAAATTTTAATTATATAATAAATATTTAATATATACATTACACATATTAAAATTCTAGTTTATAAAGATAAAAATAAAAAAAATGCAAAAACATGTATTCACATTAATTCTTACTTACTCTGCATCTAATTTAACACTTAACAAACACACACATTTATGCTAATGTAATCATGGATATCAAAGATACTCTCAATTGTGAATGGCAAGTCCAAATATTTCACACCTTAAGAGAAGCAAACAAAATTGTTGACTTCTTAGCTAAGCATGGACCACAGAGAATGCTATGTTAAAAATCTGCAATGACCAGCCTCAAGGTGTCCTCCATGACATTTTAGCAGATGCTAGCGGAACTTGGTTCCATTGGGTGTAGTTTTTCTTTTTTTTTGCCAATGTAAAAAATGTGATTTTCTTTTATCTTTATGTTATAAAAGAATATATATAAAATTACTTGTGACAAAAATATTATGATTTTGGTAAATTTTATTAAGTATATTTGCATTTTTCTCTTCATAATATATGAGAAAAGAAATATGAGTTAATCCAAATCTTTAAAGTTTATATTGAATGTGAACCAATATTGTAAGAGGGAATAGAAAATAAATATTTATTTTATATAATTAAAATTTATAATAATTTTTTGGTTAAATACTTACTTTGATCTCTTATAATATTTAAAATTTTAATTTTGTTCCATTTTAATTTTTTATTTCAATTTGGTCCCTAATAATTTAAATTACTGTAATGTCAGACCTTCCATCCAAATTTCTTAAACGGAGTTAACTGTTAGCCACCTGGAACCAGAACGGCCCGTTCTGCTTGCACATGTGATGTGTTAATTTTGCATCTGGAACGGCCCGTTCCAGATACAAAGTTAACACACAACGAATGCAAGAAGAACGGGTCGTTTTGATTTCAGAACGGGTCGTTCCGTTCTATTTCCAGAATGTCAAACACAAACGGTCAATGATTATAGTTCACGCCCATGATTCTAAATCACGGTTGTGAATCGTGCAAGGAAAAAAAACTCAAGGTACAAAGCATTTCAAACACTGGATTTGGTAATATTGTCAATGTGGGATTTATAACTTCAATTGCTAAACATTTGAGCTATACACCATTTTTGAACCAATTGTAGGATATAGGAGCTCCTAGAAGTATTAGTTATAAGAGTTAATCACTTATACACTACCAGTGTAAAGTTTTTTTACACCGACAACCAATCATATCTTTTGATAGTGTTATGTCATATGCTTATTTAATGAAATAAAAATAAAATAAAATAATTTAAAAGATATGATTGGTTGCCAGTGTAAAAAACTTTACACTGGCAGTGTATGAATGATTAACTCTGATTATAATATTTGTTATGCAATGCAGTATATCACTAAGGACAATGGTGGCAGGTTTTATTTCAGTTAGTCAAACTGGAGTGAAGCATTTACTACCAAATCGAAACTATAAAGTCAAGAATGAAACGACTCAGTAATTTCTTTGAACTTTCTTAGTATATATTATGTTATGAATTTTTGTTTTCAGTCTCTGAACCATATTTCAGTCTTTGAATTTATGTTATGTTATAAATTTTTGCTTTTAATCTTTGAACCACATTGTTGTATTTTGTTGAACGCACGTATGTGGTTAGCGTTCTGGAACGACCCGTTCTGAATCCAAAACGGCCCATTCTAAAACCAGAACGACCTGTTCTGTTTGCACTCATTGTGTGTTAACTAATGCATCTGGAACGGGCCGTTCCAGATGCAAAATTAACACACCACGAGTGCAAGCAAAACGGGCCGTTCTGGTTTCAGAACGGGTCATTCTAGTTCCAGATGCATTAAAGAAATTTGGCATCCACCTATGTATCTACGTGGCATCCACGTGACCAACAGTTAATTCCGTTTAAGAAATTTGGACGAAAGATCTGACATTGCAGTAATTTAAATTATTAGAGACCAAATTGAAACCAAAAATTAAAGTGAGACTAAATTAAAACTTTAAAATATTATAAGGGATCAAATTAGGTATTTAACCTAATTTTTTTAAAATATATAAATTATAATAAATTTTTAACACATAAATTATATTTTTATCTTATGATAAATAATTTAAATTGTGATACATTTTTTAACTAATGATTATTTTAACAATTAAAATTTAATTTAAAAGTTAGAAAAAATTAGGGGTTAAGAAAAATAATGTTGTCATTAAAAAGAAGGATATACCTATTTTAATTTATATATGGAGAATATATTTAATAATGTAAATATGTTTATCTTGAAAGGAACCATGCATAATAAAGTTTTTCTTTCGTAATGATTGTTATCTCTCTTTTTTTTCTTTCAAATTAATCCTTACATTACATTTTGCTTAAATTTTAAGTAAATTATATAGATTTCAATTAATGTTGGTCATCTAAGTTGTTTATTAATTTACTTATTTTGTGTACAATGACATTTGTTTGAAATCTCGATTTCACTTCATAGATTTATTTTATTTTATCTTTTATGAAAAATATTTTGTAATATAAATTTTTAAATTAAAGAAATAAGTATCGGTTGAAAGTTGAATTATTATTTTAAGTATGTTCCAATTATTTTAATAAAATTTTAAATGTCATTATA